CCAACACCTTGGAGCCTGCTTTAGACCGTAGAGGGACCTTTGGAGCTTGCACACGACATTTCTTGGATCTTCTTCTATCTTCAATCCTTCCGGAATTTGCATGAAGATTGTCTCTTCCAATTTTCCGTACAAGAATGCGGTTTGGACGTCAAACTGCATTACTTCAAGATTTTTCGAGGTGATTATTGCTAGCAGTATTCTCAACGAATCGTACCTTACAACTGGAGAGAATGTTTCGTTGAAGTCGATCCCCCTTCTTTGCATGAAGCCTCTCGCACACAACCGTGCCTTGAATCGATGCAGCTTCCCGTCGGCATCTTTTTTCACCCGAAAAACCCATTTCGAGTCGATTAGCTTCATTTCCGGCGTCCTTTTTTCGAGTTTCCAAGTGCTACTTTCTTCGTGAGCTTGAAGTTCGTCTTGAATAGCACTCGCCCACTGCGCGGCTTCGGTGCTATTCTTCGCTTCTTCATATGTTTGTGGTACGATGTACTCGGCCACATATGCATCATGCCGGTACCTACTCGGTACTTGAATTGTCGAGCGATTTCTTAGAGCTCTTTGATTTTCCAGGTCCGACGTATCCTCTTGTTCGCAGGCCTCTTGTTCGTTTTCCACTTCTGCTTGTTCTTGGCCGATGCCCCCGTTCTCTTCTTCGTTCTCGGCTTTTGGTAGTGGAAGTATTATTTCATTTTCTTCCTCCATTGGATTCGTTTCCGCCAGAGGTTTGCCGACTTTCTCATTAAATATGACATTGCGAGCTACACTGACCCTTTTCGTTTTCGGATTGTATACTCGGTAATTCGTCGATTCTTCCGTGTAACCAACGAAGATCTGTTTACTCGCTCGAGCATCGAATTTCTGCGTAAACTGTTTGGGAGTGTGCACGTACGCGTCTGAGCCGAAGATTCGAAGATGCTTCAGATTTGGGACTTTCCCAGTCCACGCTTCGTACGGTGTTACTGTACCAGTCGTCCACACGGTTCGATTAAGAACGTATACTGCACAATTTACCGCTTCTGCCCATAGAGTCAGTGGTAGACTCTTCGCGATTAACATCGTTCGCGCACTTTCGACTATCGTCCGATTGTCGCGTTCGGCTCTCCCGTTTTGCTCCGGATTGTACGGTGCCGTTTTCTCCTGATGGATTCCACATTTCTCGAGATATTCGTTCATTTCTTTGTTAAGGAATTCCCGACCATTATCCGAACGAAGCGTTTTTATTTTTCGACCGAATTTGTTCTCTATCATTTTTTCAAAAATTTTGAATTTCAGGTGAACCTCGGATTTCTTCTTCATAAAGTATACGTGTCGGTATCCGGTCGCTTCGTCCTTGAAGGTTAGAAAGTATCTTGATCCACCCACAGAGTTCGTTGACATCGGCCCGCAGACATCAGAGTGAATTTTTTCTCCGGGTTTAATTTTCGTGTTTCGCTCCACTTTCTTATTGAATGGCAGTCTGTGCAATTTCCCCATTTGACACGGTTCACAGAAAACGTCATTTTTGTCCGTAAACGATACTCCACTTACAAGTCCTTTTTTCGCTAATTCGCGAATCGCGCGCTTTCCGACGTGTCCTAGTCGTTCATGCCACACGGTTAAGTTTGTTGTAGCTATGTTCGCTTCTTCGACGCTCCCTTGTTTCGTGACCTTGAAGATCATGCGATACACGTCGTTGCCTTGCTTTGCACCTATCGCGAGCACCTTGCCATCACGCACAACTTCGGCGTAATTATTTTTGAATTGCACGCCGAATCCTTTCTTTGTGCACATTCCGACCGAGAATAAATTTTTGCGCAATTTCGGCACGTGTAACACTTTTTCAATTCGTGCGTCTTGCCAAACACCGTCGATGAGCCTTTTGATTCGCACCGTGCCTTCGCCGGCGACATTGCAGATTTGATTATCACCGAGTGATATCGTTGCGCCAGTACCATCTGTTTTGTAGTCAGTCAACCAGTCGCGTCGGTAAGTTAGGTGCCTCGATGCACCGCTGTCGATCAGCCAGACATCGCTTGGATCGGCCGTCATTATGTGACTTTGTGTCCAGAGCTTACTTGCGTTTCCCGCGCTTTTCAAGATCGATTTGTCCGAACTTTTACCTGATTCGACTACAAATGCGCAGTCACGAGGTTTGTTGCCGTCATCTCGTAGCTTCCGCTTGTTTCGACATTGTCTCGCGATATGTCCCATCTCTTGACATTTGTAGCACTGCACTTCCTTCGTTTCCTTTTTATTTTCGGGTTTTTTGTTCTTAGCACCTTTTGTTTCTTTGGTGCTTCGATTTTTGGCTGTCGCGGTCAGTGCTTCCGACTTCTCTTCGTCACCGTTGAGCCTGGTATCCTCTCTGATCAGCCTTTCTTGTAGATTATCGAGAGTCTGTCGTTCTGGGTCCACACTGTCCCAGGCGACCTGCAATGTACTGAACTTTGTAGTCAAGCTTGAGAGAATTTTCGCTATAATTGTGGCGTCCGATACGTTCTCTCCGATGTCCTTAAGTTGACACGCCATGTTTGTCACCCTGGCTACGTGCTGAGTCGCCGTGTCCGATTCGCTCATCCGATAAGCATGAAATTTCTGCAGCAGACCCAGCTTGTTTGTCACTGTCTTTTGTTCATGAATCAAACATAGTTTGTCCCACATTTCTTTTGCGGAAGTACACGAGAGCACACACACTTGTTGAGTCTCGTCGAGATTCGACAGGATTATAAATCTCGCCGTTGCATCGTCTTTCACGTTTCTCTTCACCTCGGCCGCTTGTCCTTCTCCCTCGGCAGGCTCTGCTCTTGTGCCATCAACGACATCAAGAACGTCGTTCATTACGAATAACGCATTTACTTGAGCTTTCCAGCCCTGGAAATTCGTACCGTCGAATGGCTTTATGCTTTTTACGGAGATGCCGACTGACATCGCGGATTTGAGTTTTTCAACTTGCACGCTTCCGACACGTTAACTTTCAGCACTTGAACAATGGCCAACTTCCGTTTTGCGCCACGTGATACTCGCCGAAGATTCGCTCAACACTCACGCAGTTTAGTTGACCGTTAACTGGGCCCATAACCTGATAAGACTTCTTGTTAGCAGAGCGTGGTTGGATGGGTTGAGCCAGTAATTAAGTAGAAACTTATAAATGAACGTAATTTATTGAAAAGTAAATTTTATAATCCGCGAGCGTGCTGTCCTCTCATTTCGGAATTCAAGCAGAGACTGCGAGAGAGATCACTTTAAACGGATATCGGTTAATTACGATGAGAGTCGAAGTTTTCCGAGCCGCGCTTGAGTCGAGTACAGTACAGTCACGCATAAAAGTATTGGTCTGTACACTCGAGTACAGAAACGCGCTGAACTCAAATACTTGTATTCTCAATAGGGCCTATACAGCTCTGTCTGCTCTAAAAATTTTATTTTTTTAAGTCTTTCTCTCTCTTCCAGACAAACTTTCTCTTATTAACTTATAGTTTTTTGTAATCAATCTTTATCTTAATTCTTTTGCTTTTTTCAACTTCTGTTATCATGCGTAATATCTTTTTGCCTCTCTTTCTAGGTTAGGTTGTTGTCCATAAATACGTCTTTATCTTTTAAGTTCTTTTTTTTTATTATTATTCCTCTCTCTTACTTTTTATTTTTAAGCTTTGCTGTTACTATTTTTGCTGTTACTATTTTGTTCCTCTCCTCATCTAGAACGCTTCTTTTATGTTCACCTCACATTCGTTCATTTTCCACTGCCATCTCTTGCGTACTTCTTTTTGTTATTTCTTAGCCTTTTATTATAATGTCCTTTTTTTCTTTTTTCTCTCTCGCTTTTTCTGCTATTTCTAATTTTTTTTCTTGTAATTTCTTATTTATTCCATCTTCCATCAACACATTTTTTATTTTGTTCTCCACCTCCGTAGTTCTTCCTTCCCGTCACTCTTCTTTCTTTCTTCATTCGTCCTTGAGTTCTTTGTTTCTTTTTTTATATTTCTCAACTCTTCTTTTACGTCTCTTATAAACTCCTAAACTTCATGTTTTTATATTCTCCTTTGATGGTGCTTCTTTTTCTTTGTAGGATTTTCCTTTTTTTGTAGGTAATCTTATGACTTTCCTTGTGACTTTCAAATTTTCCTAAGAATTCGCTTTCTGTTTCTATTCTATCTTCAGTTTTATTTCTTCCTTTCTTGCTTGATGTTCCCTTGCTTTCAACTTTCGGCTTTGCAATTAAATGGTTCAAGATTATTTTACCTTTGTTACTTCCTTCCTTTTTCTCCTTTTTTCCCTATATTCCTCTATTCGTACATTTGTCATTTTCTAGATTATTCATTAATTTTCCAATGTGTATTGATCAGTTAATTCGTGTCTTATCGATTTTGCTTTATCATTAGATGTTCTGATAATTCCAAACACCTTCTTCTTTTGCGTCTCTACTTTTTTATCTTCGCACTTGATAAAATTCCGAACTCAATTATTTTTTATACTGTGTATTAACTAACCTCTTTTAATTTCCTTCTTGCCTTTCACGTCTTTATTCTTTGTGGCTTCTCACTTTTTGTATTTTTACATGTCTATCCTTTGGCCCGCTATTCTATTTCTTTTTCTGTCTAATCTAAGATTTTCCAATTACACGTGTCACCTTGCTATCTTGCAATCCCCTAGTCACCTGTGTGGTTATTTATTGATTATCGAACACAAAGAGAGTTTTCAATGTACCTATTTGATAAGTATTTTTGACTGCAAATGTTGATTTATTAAAAAATACATTTTAATATGGTTTGCAAGAATTTTCTAAATGTATTTTTCTTGCTTTTGACGTCACAATCCAACACAGCTGCAATAGGCATGAGCCGTAAAAAAAACTACTTCTAAAAAAACTGATTTAAAGGCATTTTTTAATGTTATTTTGTCAGTCTTTTAAAAACTAGACAATTTTTTTTTGAAAAAATAATTATTCAAGATAATAATATTTCAAGTAATCATGATGGATCATTTTGTATTATGGTGATATATATTACATTTTTTTATAGGTTCTTCGCCTTCTGGCCATTCTTTATCCATTGAACATGAATCAAGCAACGCAAGAAACGAACTGAGGGAAATTCAAGCAAAACAGTGTATTAAAAAGAAGCAAGCCACCGTGAGTCCAATAAATGTACAGTAATTTTTTATTATTTATGACAATAAGTTTATATATATATCTAATGTTATTCTTTTTATTATTTGCGATACTTTTTAATATTCCTTCCCTTTGTTAATATGATGTTAGGAAGAATTGAAAGATAAAGAATAAAATCTTGATAGACAATTTATAATTGAAATATTATACACATACAGATTGGCCCATCGAAAATGAAACAGACTGAATAATTCCTACAAAAATAATTTTTTGAAAAAATGCAAAAATAAGTCGATATATATTGAAAGGGGGACATCTTTTGACGAACTCGTATAATTCTTATCTTCAACTTCGAAGTTAAACCAAAACTTACTCCATTAGTAGGGGCGCCAATCCCTAAAAGATTTCAAATTGGAAGGGGGATTGAATGATACATTACATTAGAAAAGTTTTTCAATTTTTTACATTCCTATGTTTGATTTTTTAAATTCAATTAATTCGTTTAGAAGATACAAAGTGTTAAATTTAAAACAAATAAATTTTCAAACTTTTTTCTATATTATCTATAGAATCAATCTACAATGAGATCGATTGTTGAAAAAGTGGCCAAAAATGAAAGATTATATCATTACGAAAATCTGAATTTATAAGTTTTTTGGATCGTTAAACACGATTCTGATCTCAGAATTAAGAATTTAAAAATGACGGATTTGGTTTTAAAATTGTCTAATACGCGTAATAATTGGTTTCAAAGAGGTTTTTTTGAATTACTGATTCCGATTTTGACATAAAAAATAATTAATGTAGGATAGAGTATTATGAGCACTTTAAGGAAACATTTTGATATCTAGCATACTGAAGAATTAAAAGATCTTATGTACATTTGATTTGTTGATTTACGTATTTTAATATTGAAATTGATTCTTTTAATGCAAATATTGGTACTCATATTACTCTCTAGGTAGAATAATATGAGCATTCTTAGGAGTAATATAAGCATAGGAATTTTTTTATAAGAAATTATGTAGAAATAAAAGATTGAAATATATATAAATATATATATGAAATATTTTGTTAGAATAAATACCAATCAAATATTTGGTTAATATAACCAAAAATAATGTAATTTTACAAATATTTAATAGTAAGTAATATCAAATGATAACAGTTTGGTAATACTTATTAAATATTTGTAAAAGCGACATTATTTTTGGTTATTTTAACCAAACATTTGATTGGTATTATTTTACCATACATTTATTAGCTATTATCAGACTCTGAAGTCCATGCCAGGCTGTGCCAGGCAACGCGCACTTTTTTCCCCTCCCTGCGCACTCCCCCTCCCCACCGCCGCCGCTGCCGCTCGAGTGTGGGCCATCTTATGAATTCGCGCGGCGCGAACTTAACCGCATATTGGCTTAGACATTTCCTTTTCTAATTTGAAAACTATAGCAAGTATCTCAAAATGGTATAAGAATTTTTTGTTCTCTTTGATCCGCTCCCAATGGCCTCGACCCATCTTACGAGATACCCTGTATATACGATCAGGAGTGAACTGAGATGAGCGAAGTACTTTCTCATAATTATTTTGTAATTCTGTTACATTATATTTGTTGAAACTGGTTGCTCTAGATAGGCTCGTATTTTCCGGTTTTTGCAACGAAAATTTTTTGTGCTTCTTCACAAAACTTTTCATCCAGTCTAGTCCAGCAATGCAGTTATTCAGCCACTTAGAGGGATATTTATTTAAAGTTACGACATATTCATATGGTAGAATTCTGGCTTGGTGATATGTCAAGTCATAATTAATTTTAGAACTTTTCAATAAATAACTTTCTAATATTTCTTCTTCGGCATTTGTAACCATCTGGTTAACCGAAAATTTTGAAGAACATTCTTTGCTTTTTAATTTTTTATTATTTTTTTATAATTTTTTATAATTTTTTATAATTTTTTAAACGATAAAATAATGTGTTCGGTTTTATATTATAGGCACTTGCAGCTGCTCTAAGCGTCATAGTTTTATTTATTACTTGTAGTATAGCATTCTTAATGTCTTCTACATTAATATCACTTAATAATTTTTCTCTTATAAATACGCACCAGTTTTACCTAAAATAATAAACAAATTAAATAATAAAACACTTAAATAATTATTGCTTTTTATACATAACATAAAGACATAAATATTAGAATCTATTACAGAATATGGATCTGATATCGTGGTTTAATCTCTTGAATTATCCGATCTCATCATCGAATTCTCACGACGTGCTAGTGCTGTGTTCGATAATGAGGTCGAACAATCAAAGAGATTAAAAAAAATCATGTCAGATATTTCAGGTTCTACTGTACAAATTATAGGTTATAGGCACCTGTGTGAAGCTGGCCCCCCAATATTCAAAAATCGATTTTTTTTTTTGCATTCGTTTGCTCATCGTTTGTTCACGAATGCCTCGTTGACATTTTCGTTTGTTCTCCTTTAGTTTGAAAGTTGTGCGCAATTTAATTTTGGGATACTTCTTGGATTTTTGAAAATTCCGCACTTCCGATTCCTTTGAGAAACAAACAATTTAAAGAGATACAAACGGGTATAAACAATGCTCTTTCGAATGGCTCTAGCCACACTGTCAAAAAATTACATGTAAAACAATTATAAAGGATAATTTTGGGACCAACTATTAAGGATGTATATTTTCACATTTAAGTAAAGTTATAACTTACAAATAAAACTTTTCTTTTTTAGTTATAGTAATTAAACGATTTGCAAAAGTAAGTTTACAATTGAAATTAATTGTATAGAATTATTTATACATAATCCCTCATCAAATTACGATTTTCTTAAGTTGTGTTGTCCATGTGAACGTAAAAATATTAATATATTACTATTGTGTTATATAGAATATTATAAAAATTTGTACATTTACATAAAAACTATACTAAAAATATACTATTGTTATTATAATTTTCCATCTATAATAAATATATATTTACACAATTACAAGTAAAAATATTAATATTTGTAAAATTGCACAATCTTATATATTATATTATATTTCCATTAGATAAATTTTGTAATTTTTACACGTATTACTTATGTAATATTACCATTTTTACAGCGTTGCATTTAGCGATATCTTAAAATTAGGCACTGGTAAAGAGTACATATATAGCAGGATATGTAATATGAAAAATGTCCTCATGCCAAATTAGCCTTGCCGTCGATTGTTAGGACTCTATAAAAGAAAAATTTTTACCAAGTTTTAACTCATTATCTTCACTGTTGCGAAAAAATCAATAAATCAGGCTACCACTAATGAGTAAATTAAAAGTAAATAAAAGTTGTTAGAAATTGAATTGAAAACGTGCTGATAATGCTTAGATAAACAATTTATTGTTGCTTCTCAGATCATGACAAGAATCTGTTCTAGTTTGTTTGGGTGTTCTTTTCTCGTCAGCACCGCCTGTTGCGTGGTAGTATTCTCTTGTTATGGAGACAGCGGAACTCTTCTGCAAATGTTTCACGTTGCACAAGTCGAGCGATAGTTTTTTCAGCAATTTCAAGCTCTTTCTTTTCTAGAGAACCTCTGAAGACAGTTAAAGTCACGGACGCCGCTTTTAGCTCCGGTAACTCTTCATCAGGCTCCTGGTTAGTTGCGGATTTGGATCTTTTAACCATTATGGGCCATGCTATCAAAGGTTGTTCTCCTGTAGATTCTCTACTCTTACTTTTCTTGAAAGCAGGTTAGCGAGATTTTTTTCAGATGGTACATACTGTCATAAAGCCTCCTCTGTGAGATTTTGAATCTTTGTCACCCTGTTGGGGTGCGATGAAAATCTTGAGATCGTAGAGTTGCCTTTGAATCCATCCCAGAGTAATTGTACTATCGCTCCATAGTCGTACTTTGCCTATGTTACCTCCGCAAGCTATCCCAACATTGTTGTACAACTGAGAGAGGAGTAGCGCTGCCTCTAACTCTAGGCGTGGTAGAGATATAGTTCTAAGTGGTACCACTTTCGATTTAGCACAGATTATGTGCGACTGAATGTTACTTCGGTACTAACTGAATTTATACAAGCGTCAAACGCGCTCTTCGAGGCATCACCAAAACCATACAGATCCACTCTGTGTTCTCACGATTACTTGGATTCGAGTTCCTGGATATATTGAGCTTGCCAAGGCCTGACAAAGATTCATAGTATTTTTTCTACGTAGCTCTAAGATCGGGTGGGAATTCCTGATCTCATTCGATTTCCTGCTTCTATATCTATTGCATAAGGAGCTTGCCAGTAATGAGTATCGGGCCTATCAAACTGAGAGGATCGTAAATCTGTGCTATCTTAGAGAGCACATTTCTTTTCGTGCATGCGTATCGATCTTTGATACGTTTGGCTTGTACTCATCGGAAATCGCGTTCCAATGAAGTCCCAAAGTTTTGAATGCTTCTTCCTTATTAATGATAAGCAAGTCGTCAATGTTCTTCTTCAAGTGCTGTATAATTCTAGAATCATTTGATCTCCATTTTCTTAGCGGGAATTGTCTATGCATAAGCAATTCTGACATTTTTCTTTGTAATTCGGTTACGTATTCCAACGTGAGAACCTCTCGTTAAGAAGTCATCCATATATGAATCTCCGAATACTGTTTTCGCTGCTCTTGGGAACTCATGACAGTAAGTCTTGGCTAACTCTCTTATGCACCGCATGGCCAGAAACGGAGCACAGGCTGTTCCATAAATAACTGTATTTAACTGAAAGATCTGTATGAGCTGATTTCGATCAAACCTCTATAATGCGTTGGAATCGGCGGTCTTGAGGTTCAACTATAATTTGACGGAACACTGTCATGTCCGCCGTTAAAACAACTGTGCATTCTAAATCTGATTATGATTCTTTTAAATCCTGCTGAAGATTAGGATCTGGCATGAATTTATCATTCAGTGATGTATTGAATGTAGTCTTTGCTGATGCATCGAAAACAACCCTTAATTTCGTTGTCTAGACGTATTACTAGCTGATGAGGGATGAAATAGACA